GGAGGGAGGGAGGGAGGGAGGGAGGGAGGATAGATCTCAGCAGGATGGAAAATTTTATGTAACTTTATACAGAAAAAAATGTGAGATCAAGGCCAGCCTGGTCTCCACATTGAGTTCTACATGGAAACTCCGAAATACAATGATCCTTTTGCTCCTGATGGAACAGTTGTTGCAGCAAGTGATTCAGGCACAGACCCCTTTGCTTCTGTTTTCGGAAATGAATAATTTGGAGATGGATTTGCTGACTTCAACACATTATCAAAGGTCAACAACAAAGATCCTTTTAATCCTACCACATCAAATTCTGTCAGCAGTATTATCATTCCAAAACTGCTTGAGGAGACATCAGTCGAAAGTGAAGATGTACCCTAGCCCTGCCACCAAGATTGGATCTAGACCTTGCCCACCACCACCTGGGAAAAGAGCCATCAACAAATTGGATTCTTCTGATCCTTTTAAACTGAATGATCCATTACAGCCTTTCCTAGGCAATGATAGCCCCAAAGAAAAAGATCCTGATATGTTTTGTAATCCATTCACTTCTACTACCACTACCAATAACGAGGTTGAGCCAAGCAACTTTGCTAACTTCAGTGCTTATCCCTCTGAAGAGGATGTGATTGAATGGGCCAAGAGGGAAAGTGAAATGAGGAAGAACAGAGGCTTGCCCGACTGAACCAGCAACAAGAAGACCTGGAACTGGCTATTGCACTTAGCAAATCAGATATCAGAAGCATGAAGAATGTTTGTCCTTGTCAACAATATGATACTCCTTCCTGAATACTGAAGCTATTTACCATGTGTATCAAAACTACCTATGAACATGGGGATACAAAAGTTTTGAGAGTCCTATAAATGTGACAAAAGTCTAGTTTGTTATTGTTTAAAAAAACTATTTCAGCAGGGCGTGGTGGCGCACGCCTGATGTCCCAGCACTTGGGAGGCAGAGGCAGGTGGATCTCTGTGAGTTCAAGGCCAGCCTGGTCTACATAGTGAGTTCCAGGACAGCTGGGGCTTACAGAGAGACCCTGTCTCAAAAAGACCAAACAAACAAACAAACAAAAAAACCCAAACAAACCCCCCAAAAAACTATTTCAATCTTATTTTTTCTTCCAAAAGCAGTACCCTGATTGGAAAGCTTCCCCTGGCCCCTGTTCGGGTGTGAGTCTACAGTGAGCTCTTGCCTGCTTATGCTGCTTTTACCCGTGAAGCTAGAGCACCCAAGCTTCTGCCTTCTAGAATCTGGAAGACGTAGTTTCACCCTGTGCTGCCCTTAGTCTGTAGTTGTTATAAGTCATTGGAGTTCTTAAAAGTCTGCAGATATTTTTCCCTGAATTGAATGACTGAAGGGGAGGGAAACGGAAAGGGAAAGAACATCCTATTTCTTTTATGATTGTTATGAATTGGCTAGTGCCAGATGTTAGAAAAAAAAAAATTAGAACTTAAAATACAACACTTCTTTGCAGAAACTTAACACACACCAAGTCTGCCTTTGCTGGCTGAGGTGCTGTCCTTTAGTTCAGGACAGGTGTGTTTCTGAACTCTGACAGGAGAAACTCCAGAAGTTAGAATTGGCAGATACTTTGGTTTTTCACTATTTGTCCTGTTTTCTTTAACGAAGGCCCCGCTATTTGAAATGTAAACCCTTCCACTGACTGCAAGGGGAAGAACATATCTAGTACTTTTTGTCCATCTTTGTAGTTTAAATTAGTTTATTTATGTGTCTCATGGTTTTCTCCTCTAAAATTGGCAAGTTAGCAAAAAAAAAAAAATCTTGTTTTTAAACTGAAAAGAAAAGATCTGCCAAATTATAAGAACTCTTCCTTTGTTAAAAGCCCATCTTCTTTTCAACTAGCAGACAGTTGAATCTGAAAAAGACTATGAAGTAGACTGTAAACTGTAATTTTTTAACCTGAGTTATTGATTTAGATAGCATTTTCAATACCAAGATAAAGAAAAATGCACCTACAAACTAGTTCTCCGGGTCACCAAGTCAAGGTGGTATTGAGTTATATTAGTCAGAGTAACTTACTGCCTGGCCTACAAATAAATCCCACAGTGTCTAAATCAGTTCATCTTGAAATGGCGTTTTCTTTCCACACACTATCGAGTGGCTGGAATTTAAAGCAAATCTAAACCACTTTCTTGCACTGTTAACTTTTTTCTACTTTTGTGACTAGAACTATTTCAGCACAAAAGTCATACACATGAAGCAAGGGCTGAATCACAATCACAAGCTTTTGTTTTGATAAACTAATCCAGTGACCCAAGTGTTGATTGCAAAAGTTCCTTGAGAAGGTAGTGTTAGGAGTTGTAATAGATGGTATTTTCTCTTTCTTTTCCCCCTTTCTTCCCCTTACTCTTCAGGAAAAAGGTAAGTTGACTTGAATAACCTTCTTTTGCACTGAGAAAATGAACAAGTGTTTGAAATGCTTTAAAATATTTTTAATTAAAAAAATACTCTGGAAAATATTAAATATCCATAACTTATAAACACCAACTTTTGATGTAATAAGTGCACCCTAATCTTATGTATGTTTAACTGGATTATATAGATTATCTTTTTATTAAGATATGTATACTTAATGGACAAATACAATATAAAATATGTACATCTTAGATAAAGATGTCTCCTTGCTTGCTCATGTAGGATGGATGTCTTAAGAGTTATTTGTATGAAACTGTGTGTTTTGACAACGAAGTGGAGATCTTTATTTAAACGTTGGAACCTCATTTAATTTTATGTCTTATAGTTTATAATGAGTTAAAGATTATATTAGCGTAATAATTCATCTGTAAACCTAAAAATGTACAGCCAATTTTGAAAGAGATGTACCCTAGCTCAGAAAAATGTTA